GGTAGCTGCGAAAAGGTTTGGCACTATAAGTTTCCTTTTCAAAACGCTTTTCGAGTCTTTTTTTTTTATTCAGCCATTTTTTCAATTTTTGCTTATTTTTTGAGCAGTTTTCATCATCTTGCTTCTAGGAATCCTCGAAAGACTGAACCATTGAAATTTTTGTCAGTCGAGTGTAAGTAGAGGAGGAAATCAAGCCAAAAGCGCTTATGTTTAGAATCATGCAAAAAGTTAAAAATTTTGGCTTGATTCTAAACGTATCCTCAAAATCCTTCCCATCGGTCAATTCTGGTGCAACTGCTCTCAGCAGCCATCGCCTGCTAGTGCACGTTTATGTTTTTTCGAGAATTTGCTTCAAAAATGACCTCTCAGCTGTTAGCGGTTTTGGTAACACTCGAGGCTAACTGCATGAACAAATTTTCATTGCGCATTTGTTTTTCTAGGCAATTTGAGGTAATGCATAGAGGCTGGAGAAGCTGCGGTGCTATAAATCACTACATCTAATCGCTCAGTTATTTTAAGCGTTGTGGAAAGAGTTGGAAAAGATTTTGTTTTGTTCTATTACAATATCCCGAAGCAAATGCGCTGCTTCTTAGGCTAGCGGTTGGAGTTGCATTGCTTTGATACTTCGATCAGCTGCACTGTTTCGCTTTATGCTCCAACATCACATATGGTAACTTTCTGATACTAGAGGGCCAAAAATTATGCTTAATTTCCAGGAAAAAGAAATGATGAATGATGCCAGTTTCTCCGACACATTTGCGTCAACTTCATCTGCTGTAGAGGAGGATGAGGCCAAACTACTTCCTGTTTTGGTGCCAACTACGAGTACCACCAGAAGTGATAATGCAATGACGACAACACTCAACCCCTCTACGACAAAGTCCGTTAAAGTGATTACTCCAGAGGTACCGGATATTGCGGAGGATGCAACTGAGCCTAGTACACTACCATCGTTTATTAACAGCGATGATAAGAATGCCCAGGTTTCGCATTTTTTTTTTGCTACTTTTAAAATAATTTGTGGGGTTTTTTTTTTGCAAGCAGTATATCATCTCATTACGAAACTTTTCCATTGAAGGATTATAAAGACTGAAATTCTCTTTCGAATCAAGAAAATCAGTTTGAAA